CATTTGCTCCCGACACATCTAGAAATACATTTCACCCGGGAATTTCAATTCCTTGTTGTGATAACACTGACATGTGTTATATTGCTGAGTGTTATTTGGAAATTTTGCTCTAATAGAGTTCAGGATGCCGTTGAACAACCTAGACCCCCTGCGACGAGCACAACAAGACGACGAACCCGTCCCCACTCACCTTCACCGGTAGATTCAACTTATTTATCGCCAGGAATGCCTGCTGGAAATTCTCTTGTCAACATACCCCTTAAACGCACCTTTAAAGGAGACGGAACTGCAATCTGGAGCGAATTTATACGATATTTTGAGAATGTCGCAAATCTTAACCAATGGACAGAACAACGTACAAGACGAATTCTGTTAACTACGCTCAGAGACCAAGCTGAAGCTTATGCATATGGACTTCCGGAGACTGTTTTACAGGATTACAATTCTCTGAAAAATGCTTTAAATCAACGATTTGGTCACACGGCATTGAAAGACAGTTATATCGCAGAGGCGAAATTAAGGCGTAAAAGGGACAACGAAACATTCCGAGATTTCGGACAAGCCATTGAGGACTTGTATAGGAGAGCTTATCCTAACAATAGGGAATATGTATCGGAAAGTTCCATGAAAACGTTTTTGGACAATTGTAGTGGAAATGATGATTTTAGACTTGCTGTTAAAAGAACCCGACCTAAAACTCTTGCCGAGGCAGTCACAGCAGCCATGCAGGAAGAGTGTATTCGTTGTACAGAAAACAGGAAGTTAAACCCTAAGACCTACCCACCTCAAGTCTATGATGTTAGAAATGCTCAGGGAGACAAGCGAAAATGGGAAGATAAATCAACAGCTAATTTGAACAAGGGTATCAAGAAATGTTTCAAATGCAACTCCACGCAGCATTTAATACGAGATTGCCCAAAGGTAGACCGTGACAATAGATCCAAACAGAGTGGCTGGACCGGAACTCATGAGAACCAGCATATCCAACAAAATGTCAATCCGCAGTTAAACCGGAACCGACCGAGGCAGTAGGCCATGCGTCGGTCAAGGGAGCACAAGAGAGGCCTAAATAAATTAGATGAAGCGCATATAGATTTCAACTCAGGGGCGGCGATGCCTAGTGTCATTGTTGAGGGAAAACCCGGGATGATTGCAAAAGGGTTAGTGCAAGGTACGCCATTAGAGTGGAAAATTGACACAGGTGCGATAAATACCTTCATTACAGAGGACATGTACTACAGTATACTTCCTCGAGAGAGACCTGTACTAGAGCGTGCACGGAAGAAGTTTGAGACAGCTGATGGAACTACTCTTAAAGTTATTGGAACTGCAAATATGTTGTTAACTATATATGGGGACAATAAGTGTATATTTTCGTGTATTTGTGGGAGGAGTCAAAAGTAATTTGCTTGGACAGGACTTTATGACCAAGTTTGAGTGTCAGTGGAACTATCGAAATAATCATTTGATGATAAATTGTGCGCACAGAAGTGATGAAAAACAAGGCTGCCTGGTGGTTTCAATGGAGGATGAAGTGATTCCCCCGAAGTATGAAGCCGTGATGAAATCAAGAGTGATTTCCGGTACAAAATCCAAAGAAGGGATATTAGTGCCTCTTAAATTGTTTGTCCACACGCATGGACTCGCAATTGCGCATGTGTTAGTGAATTCCGAAGATGGAGTTATTTATGCGCGTGTGTTTAACCCAGGCGACAGCGAAGTTTGTGTTAAGAAGAACACAGAGATTGCATTATTAACACCAATTAAGGATGTGTTGGACTCCTTAAAAAGCAAAGATGTGGAGGTGTGTAATGTAACAGTGGGAAATGGATCAGCTGAACTTCCCGAGTTTTTGTGTAATATGTTTCGCGAAGGATGCGAAAACCTGTCCCCGGAACAAGCAAGTGAATTCAAGACATTTTTATTAAATCAGCAAGACGCATTTGCTGACCCCAGTCTGCCTGCACAACGTGCGAATTTAGGTGAACATCGCATTGATTTGAGTGACGAGACCCCATTTAAAGAACCAGTGAGGAGAGTTCCCATATTTAAAAGAGACATTTTAGATGCGGAAATTGAAAAGTTAAGGAATCAAGGATTAATAGAGAAATCAACAAGTCCATGGTCGTCACCTTTAGTGTTAGTTCAGAAGAAGGATAAAACTTGGAGACTTTGTGTTGATTATCGAAGGTTAAATGCCCAGACAATTAAGGACGCATATCCGATCCCCAGAATTGCTGACGATTTAGACGCTTTATCTGGATCGAAATGGTTTACATCATTAGACTTAAATATGGCCTATCATCAGATTCCAATGCGTGAGTGTGATAAGGAAAAAACTGCATTTGGAACACCTCGGGGCGGATTATACCAATACAACGTCATGCCTTTCGGTTTGTGTAATGCCCCCGCCACTTTTCAGAGAGTCATTGAGCAAGCACTTAGTGGATTACAATGGCATATTACCGTTCTCTACCTGGACGATATCATCGTATATAGTCGTACATTCGATGAGCACCTGAGAAATCTTAATTCAGTGTTTGATCGCTTGAATTCAGCTAACTTGAAATTGAAGGCGAAGAAATGCAAATTCTTTAGAAAAGAAGTGACATTCTTAGGCCATGTTATTTCAGAAAACGGAGTGAAAACAGATCCTAGTAAAACTGATACAGTCAAGATCTGGAAAACGCCAACAAATGTCAGTGAACTCAGAAGTTTCCTAGGCCTTGTATCTTACTATCGACGATTTATTAAGGACTTTGCAAAGATTGCGAGATGCCTACATGAACTTACCAGCAAAAATAAGATGTGGTCGTGGACTGAAGAATGTGATGAAGCTTTCAAACAATATTTACTTGGTCGTGAATTCACGTTAAGGACAGATCATGGATCTTTAGTGTGGCTACACAAATTTAAAGACCCGGATGGACAGATCGCGAGATGGTTACAGCAGTTAGCTGCATTTACGTTTAAGATACAGCACCGATCAGGAAAGCGACACGGAAATGCCGATAGCCTGAGCAGAATTAATGTACAGGGAGTTACGTGCAAACAATGTAAACTAGATGTTACAGAGGAATATTCAGGACCAATATATAACCACGTAGAACAACTAAGAAGTGTACCCGTAAATGTGAGCAATAATGTGTATTCACTTATTGGATTATTTGACGACGACGACGACGAAGTACTACCTGTGAATTGTAGTAGTGTTTATGTACTAGCTAACCGACCATCACGAGCAAGACAAAAGAAACAGTCAGAGGATTCATTAACTTTGGAAAATATAAGGGAGGCACAGTTGACCGATAAGGATATGTGTAGATTTCTGAAATGGAAAGAAGATTCCGAATTTGAGAAGCCATCGATTAGTTCGATTTCCCCATTAGGATTTGAAAGTAAGTTTCTATATGCTCGTTGGGAATTACTTTCTGTGAAACAAGGTGTATTGTGTATTCGATGGATTGACAGTGATTGTGAGCGATTCCAGATTTGTGTGCCAAAAATTCTAAGGGACAATGTTATGTGGAATTTCCATGATTCAGAAATAGCAGGACACATGGGCGTCAGAAGAACACTGGACAAGATAAACAGAAGCCAGTACTATTGGCCTCATCTCAGGAAAAGTGTACATGATTATGTGACTTCATGTGATATCTGTGAGGAGCGAAAACATCCAAGTAACAAGAAACGCGCATACATGAAAACCTATCTAAGTGGAGTGAAATTCGAGCGAATAGCGGTGGATATAGCTGGCCCATTCCCGAAAACAAACAACGGATTTGTGTATATTCTAGTGATTGCGGACTATTTCACTAAATTTACGGAAATATTCCCTCTTCGTGATATTGAGGCTGAAACAGTAGCAAATATCATATTCCGTGGCTGGATCAAAAGATATGGTTGTCCCCAGGAATTACATTCGGACCAAGGTGTACAGTTTGAAAGCCAGTTATTCCAGGAACTATGTAAAATGTTGCAGATAAACAAAACGCGCACTACCGCTTATCATCCCCAATCAGATGGGATGATTGAACGTTTAAACAGAACTGTGAAAGATGTGCTATCGAAGTATATTTCTGTACATCAAAATGACTGGGATAAATTCTTAGACGGAGTTGTATTCGCATATAACAGCACAGTACATGATACGACCGGGATTACGCCGTACAGAATGGTGTTTGGAGAAGAAATGAAATTACCTGTTGAATTAGTGACAGAAAATGTTAATTGTGAAGAAGACCGTGTTTCTACACCTTCAGAATATGTGCGTACCCTGGAAAATTCCCTTTGTGAATTATACCACATTGTGAGAGATGTGACAGGAAAAGACGTGTGTCGTCAAAAACGTAATTATGATCGAAAAGTGCGAGAGGTAAATTACGATATTGGAGATTTAGTTAGAAGAAATCAACGACAAATAATAAAAGGAACAAAATCAAAATTAGCACGCAATTGGACTGGTCCTTGGTATGTGGTGAAACGATTAAGTGATGTGCTGTACCAAATCCGACATTCAAAAACTTCAAAACCCGTAAATGTCCATACAGACAACTTAAAACCGTACCGAGGGAATAAACATTCTGCCATAACCCCGACGGAATATACAAGTGACCAGACAGTCAACGCCCGCGTCCCCGAGCGACGCGCGACAGCGAGAGGGAGACGTTTTAAGTTGCCGGCAGACACGCGCCATGGTCTTGACCAAAATGATCAGTCACTCGCCGACAACCAATCAGAAGCCAGAACGAGGACTACCCGACATGGACGGGTTATAAAAAGGCCACTTCGTTTCAGAGACAGCAACTTACCAGATGATTTGTGAGATTTGTGGACATTGTTTTAGTACTCGAAGTAATTTGAATCAACACCAGAGAGAACAGCATCAACACCATGTAGAACCATTCAAGTGTTCGTTTTGTCAGAGACTATTTCTAAGGAAATTCAACTTAAAAAGACATTTATCAACAGTGCATAAATCTTCCGATATCGAAAAAGACATGGACCAGAAAAGAAGAAAAGTGGAACGAGAGCGATATGAGGAAACCCAGAAGCCCGTCTACATGCTAAGCCACCTTTACGATGACATTTCCAGTGATAAGGAGTGCCTAAGTGAACCCGTGAATCAGTTTATCGAAAGTGACGATTTAGAGGAAATCTCAGTAAACTCCATGGACTTCGATTTTATCGATGGATTACTCGGAGAAAGTGACTCTATTAGTGACGAGAGGATAGTTATCTCGGAAGACGGGAACGATAACATGGATACTCGTCAAGTGATTGTGTGTGATGACACTAATTCTGACTGTGATAACGATTCCATAATGATCGAAACAGACGATAACAACAATCGCGCTGTGACGAAGACTACAATCTGCCTCGTAATGAACCGGACCGTGGGACGGGACCCTTGCGGGACTGAGGAAATTACACGCGACTCGCAGATTGTGTATTCTGAAGACGTGAACCCCGAAGACATTGACTTTGAATCAGTAGCTTCAGACATTTTAAGTGAGGTCCCCAAACATTTCACTGATCCACATGTACATGTGAAACTTGTAAAGGGAAATTTGTGATTTGGTTGTATATATAAGTTGTAAATAATTCTGAAAATTTTTAATCTAAATATGATAACTTGTCATGTTTATATTATTTCAAGACAGGAGAAATGTTTTGTTTTACGCTATGTTTCATTGTGTCATTGTTATTATTTTTTTATGATTATTTTTGTGTTTATTATCTTGTTTAACTATGTAGATTGAAGATTCCGTACATTTTCTTTGTTGTAAATAGTCAGTTTCTTTTGAACGGAGTCAAAAACTTAAGTGGGGGGAAGTTGTAACGGTCTTTAATTATTTCATTTATGTTTGTTTATATTTGATTCCGTTATATTATAATTATAGAAACCTGTAGTCTTTGTTTACGTACCATTGCTCCTCGCGAGCAATGGTCAACAATTATGTAATGACCAAAAACGCATTGCTCCTCGCGAGCAATGGCCTAAAGATATATATAGGGGGGATGTTCTCAGACGAGAACACTTGCTCACTTGCTCAGAATCTGTACTTATGTGAACATTGGATTATATTATTGTTTTAATACTGGAATTATATATGTGTGATTATTGGATGTTATTGTGATTTTATTATGATGTGTAAATAGTGTAAATAAACTTTTAAACGTACTTTGCGTAATTCATTCAGAGGATTGAAAATAAAGAGTTATCGCTCTTTGAACGCTACGGCGACGTTACACTAGTTTTTCTGAATATTTTGAAACCAAATTTTTGATTGTATACCTTCTAAATTCTTATTAAAAATCGAACTGAAAACAATGCAATTTTAAAAAGATAACGCTATTAAACGTTGAATAACGTCGCATAACGTTATTGATATTTGGAACGTTATTGTTACTAAATAACCTTTTGTATTCGTTAGAAATTATTTTTTGTACATGTATTTAAGGTTTTCAATGCCCCCCCCCCCCCCCCAATTTTAGCATCTATATGATCGTATACATTGTTAAATAGCGATAAATCTGCTGGGGAAAAAACGACAATTTTTTCTATATGTATATGTAGGCCAATATTGAAATAATAAAGTAAGTTGTACATTTTCAAAGAAAACATTGAACGACATCATTCAATCTTTCTACAACATGAATATAAGCATGCTTTAATCTCTGAAAAATTGGTATTTGAAAGGATCCTTCACAAGGGAATAGACCACTGAACATGTGTACAAAACCAAACAAGTTCCTACTCTGAAGTTATCTCGCAAGGCATTCGTAACAACTCGAAAAACTCGGGAGAAATAACATGTTCGTGAACAGAAATGACAGAGTATTTACGATTGCTTGCAAGGGACTAAAATGAATACTTATGTTCATGTAGTAAGGTCGTATGGATAAATCCCGGTCAAAGTACTTTTTTTTCTTCCTTTTTGCCATATCAGCAAACTTACCTCAACAAAAACAAACCCTTACCCAGTACCTTCATGTATATGTTTTTTAAAAATTTTTTTGACATAGTTGTACTTCCGTGTATTTTAGGGGGGAGTGCAGCTTTCAGGCATTGTTATCATTTTTTTTTTACTTATCATTTATATCACACTTCTTTCAAAATCAATGTCCTTTTTATTTTATTTCAATTGAGAATTATATTGAAATGTGGAAAATTCCCCAATTCAAATTAGATTAAACGTGTTTGCCCCCCCCCCCCCTTCTAACGATGTTACTTGCCTATATGTCTGTGATTTAAGATGCTATAATCAAATAAAATATACCGGTACATATTGTATCAATAATTATGACTTTACTATATATCAGTGAAAGAAATGAAGTTTTTTTGTACATTGGGGAAACGGGGGGAGGGGTAGGCCTTTCTTCAAAAATGAGCCCGGCACTGTGTACTTGCCATGGACCAAAGACGCGTAACATCGCTTGCAATTGTTTAAATTTTGTTTAAGATAAATATCGTATGTTGTAAATGCTTTAAAGAGAAAATCTTGTATTTTATTCTCATGTTAAAAATATTATGGAATTGAATTTGATCAGCACTAAAATATACCGATTAAAATATCTAAGTTATGTAGATAATTAGATATCTAGGCTTGATGCAATTAGTCGGAGAACAATAAAAGTAAAACGTTAGATTCACACTTTCAGAATATACTGAAATTGTTTATATATAAGCTTTTCTTCTGTGCCACCCATTCACGTGTTAGTACGTTGATTCATGCAATATTTTATTGACCAAGTCAATGTTACCGGATGACATTCTAACTGTACAATCTAAACATTTGATACACAGTTACATGCATGTACATTTAAATAATCAGTTTATTTCATATTCAGCTGTATCAAAGAGAACAAGAAAATATATATGTTTAAATAGTGTAAGATGCATGGGCTCATCCCCTGAAAATCAATAATGTAATCTACGTATACACGCTGTCATCGTAAGAAATTTCTTTAGATTTATTCTCAGCATTATTTTGTAATAGATAGATCATTATGCATTTGTACAATCAGCAATCCTCGGCTGACTCCGCTTCACTCCATTCAAACAGGTAAGAGCCATCCGAGGAGCTCCGAGTGATACCCCCCCCCCCCCAAAAAAAAAAAAAAGAAAAAAAAATCACAAATTAATGATGATTATTGGATATTACTTATAAAACGCAGTATTTTTTTTCAAATCCAACATTTTATTTTTCATAGTCAGGTTGTAACAGGATCAAACTTTCTTTCATACATAATTGAAAAAAAATATATATTAATACAGAATGTATATTTTTTTTAAAATCATATGCAGTAAGCAGACACATAGAAAGAATCTTCATTTGTTGGAAAGGGCTTCATAAAAATGCGTTATTTTTTAGCCTGAGATTAAAAAAGGAGTCATCAGACAATATTATTAAGAGGTCACAACATGTACGAGTGTAAATAATCTGATTTCACAATCGCAGTGTAAATTGAGATAGGTCTATGGCAACATCAACAAAGGGGTTGCACAACTTCCGAATATAAAATTCTTATAATCTTCTGCAAATACATCTTCAGTGTGTGAAAAAACGGAACTTTTGAGATATTGCTTGAAAAACAGAATAAGTAACCACCTCCTGACTGATGATGTGAATTACAAGACAATTAATGATCCGACACTTAATTAAATGATAAAATATAGGAGCGATCTTTTTTAGAGAAGGGGGGTGCATGTGCCATTGAATTTTCATAGTGTCTATGGTCAAAATAAAAAAAGAAATTAATAGTAAATTAATATGTAAAAACGAAAACGAACAAGCAAAATGATACTAGAAAATAAATTAATTTAAAAGAAATAATAAAGAAAATCAAGATCGAGAGAATAACGAAAAAACCGGAATTAAGCCTTGAAAGCTTCCCTTTCCATAGTAACATAGAATGAACATAAGCACATTAAAAAAAAGTGTGCGCGCGAGGATGTTAAGGTGTGTGTGTGTGGGGGGGGGGGGGGTATCTAACCATTTAATTATACGATATTATGCAAGATTACAAGCTCAACTCAAAATGTTTGGAACTACTGTATTTGCCTTAAATAAAATTAGTAAAATTCAAATCATAAAATAAAACAAATGTACATTAGTCTGATTTTAAATCATCGCTCTTAATTTTCGACTTTGAAGTTAACAACAACAGTTTAAACCAATGTTAACGTGTTTAGTTTTATTTAATTCATTAAATTTATAGGTAATGAATATTATAAGACCTCCAATTAGTCTTGAAAATGACCACTGCTGATTATTTTCACATTTTATTACGTCAGTTTTTCAAACCTCAGAGTCTTACCGAATACGCTAAAGGTGATGGTGTTGATGAGGAGATACGAAAGTCTGTATGTTTTTCGCCGCTTCATGCTTTATGACATTGCTACAGACAGTTTCCTAGGAGCTGCGTTCATGCTTCTCCTACTATATGTATTGACAAAACTCTATTGCAACTATGCTACATGTAGTATCAGTTAACTTGATTCGATTACTTAATCTCTGAAAACAAACTTTGGGCATTGAGTCGCCAGTTCTCGGGCCTTTCTGACTAACGGAGAAACAACCTGGAATGTGTAATATGTAACTCCCACCCCCACACAAAATAAAAAAAAAACAAAAAAGAACATGGAAATAAATGCAGGAGACAACTTATCTGAAGAGTCTGGAGCTCAGCCGGAAAGGCCAAAGACGCGATTGTCTTCACATATTACTGAGGTAAATACATGTACGTACACTGTACATGGATTTGTACATAGACATTTTTCACTTCTTATCAATAAGGCCATTCATGAACTATCAAAAATTAAATTAGTTAATGAACTATTTTGGAAATATTACCAGTAAATCTATGAATTTATGACATTAAACAATTTTTTTTTCGGACAGTTATAGGTGTGTCATTTTTTAACATTAGTATTAAGCAAATAAATTTTTATTTTGCTTTATCGTATGATTTTTTTATCGACAAAACGCACCGGCGCGACGTCACGTCTTTGAAGCGCTATTGTGACATAATTACGTTCATGTCACGAAGGTCCCTTTTCGCTTGACGCAACTCATATTTGATAACCAAGCGATAAAAAAATTGTGATGTAGGTTAACATACCGCTATATTCCATGGTCTCGATTAATTTTTCAACGCATATTCGTAAACTTCCTGGATTAAGGTCAAAAGAAGATAGTAAATCCGGAAAATGCAATAACTCCTCCCAAAGGTTTTGAATTTTTCCTTCTTTGAAATCCAAATCAAACTTCCTCAATGTACACTCTTCATAAAATCCCAGAGTCATTATTATGCAACCACTCCGATATGCCTGATTAACTTCATATTCTCGAGCAATGATGCATTCGAATTTTGCAAACTTTGCCAAAATTCTCATAGTTTTCTTCGGATTGATCTCTGCATACCAGTGTATTTTTCGTTTCATTTCATCCATAATATTTAAGGCAGGATGATTTGAATCTCCGATGGGCTTTTCTGAGTCCAAATAGTATTTAAAGGTGTCGTACAGCATAGATATATCTTGCTTGGTTGTCTTCTCGTTAATGTGATT